GTCGCTGTGAGTGTCCCCTAGCAATGATGATGGAGGCAGTGTGGAGAGGGGGTTAATTGATTTGGGTTAGTGTTTTATCTGCACCCTTGTCCCTTTTAGGGGGCATCGTCGCAGCGCCGGGAGGGTTTGGTGCGTCGTGCTCTGTAGGGATGCGTAATACATGTGATAAATTTGATCGGATATTTTCACACCCTGTACAACTGCAACTGGCAACTACAACTTTAGTTGTGCAGGGCAGCAACTACCCAATAGTTGTCTGCGGACAACTAGTTGCGCAGCTTTTCCAAACAGTAGTTGTCTGCAGGCAGCTAGTGGCGCAGCTTGTTCAAGAAATAGTTGTCTGCCAGACAACTGACAACTAAAGTAGTTGTACAGGGTGTGTAAAATTTCCAGACCTTAGCCGGGGATGGTTCATCACCATCCCCCCCCCCGCAAAAAATCTATGCTCATCAGTTGCGGATGGCGCCTGTAGATACATCTGTAGATGTCGTTTTATGAATACAGCAGTACTATTTACAGCAGACTGCGCGTCTGTCTGTGCACAAGAGTGCAGAGACCCAAGCTGTAGACATCTTTGGCGAAATGAGTTTGTAGCCATGACTTTTTGACCACTGTACTTTGTGACTTCGTCACAAAACCACCTGTCGATATCTCGATCTCTCGATCATCTCTCGATGTCTCGATTCTCGATCGCTCCATCGCTCCGCGCTCCGCGCTCCGTAGATCGGTCGTGCGATTACGCCGCATCTGGGTGTTAACCCGCTGCGCATCTCCGGAGAAAAGGCTCTAGTAACCCTAACGCTGTTCAGTGCAGCAGGAAGGTGCTTTGTTCAGTGCAGCGCGAAGGTGCTTCGTGTGCGTGCTGTGCTGAGAGATTTTGTGTTTATTGTTGTCGTCGGCTGTGCTGTGGGGGAGCGGGGTTGAAACCTGAAGTTTGAGAGAGAAGAAGGAAAAGCAATGCCGCGGTTGGACCACAGGAAGCTGGAAAGATTGGTCTCTCCCGGGGGAGTCTCGTGTTTGCAAGGGGATGGAGAGGACGTGGCGCTTCGACGGAGAAGGGTAGCTGGTGCTGTTTCTCTTCAAATGGTGAGGATAGACAAGAGAGAGTAGTTGAAAATCACATGGCAGACCACAAAACCATGGTGAACCTGGGGTTCTTGCTACAGCAGTAGACTACACTAGAGCGTTGTGCCAGATTGTCTGTACTCCTCTCTTCCCGAAAAGTTGAAGGGATGAGCACGAGGGTGGTTTCGGTTCTCCCAAGTTCTCCCCAAATCCACAACATGAGGCGGGGCCGAAAATCGAAAGACGGCCTTCCGGCGGTCACTATTTCTGTACTGCTATACTGCTGCAGTGGGTTTCATGGAAGAGCGGTAGACTAACAACTGTAAGTACCTCGACACGCCTACGTGTGTTGCTGCGGGATCGAATGTCAGAGGCCCGCCAGGGTCGTCACTGCTGTATGTCGACGCCACGAGCCCCAATTCCCCGCACTGTGGATCGTCCGTGGCAGCTACAGTAGGTATGTCCTACTGCTGTAGTCAGCCTACACCCGTCCAGCAGTATCTCCGGAGATAAGAGTCTGTGACGGCGGGTGTAGCAGAAGAACACGAATGGTTTGGACCCAGATGCCCGCACCAGTAGCAGCGTCCGGCAGAACAGGCCCAACACGCACGTCGCTTATCCACGATGTCCTCTGCAGATGAGTATTTGCAGGTTGGGACGTCGACAACGGCAACCAGCCTGTTTGATCACCGCCCGCATCTGCTGTTTGCCTTGAATTTTGACTTGTGGAAAATTGTCTTGGTTTCAGAGGAGGCCTGTGGGGGTGCTGGTGGAGACAAGTCACAACCGCTTCTTCGCGCACAACCCAACGGACTTTTCATGCCCAACTCCTTCCAACTGGTCTTGCGTATCTCGTGCGCGATAACTGGATGCTGTTTCGGTCGTTTCGAAACCAGAAATCAGTAAAAACCCAGAGCGGCTGTTCTCGCTGTTGGCCGTGCGCTCGGAGGATGCCGCAGTAAGAGGAACGGATTGTTTGTTACCCAGATATGCTGACTATTTCTTCCATACTTCCCGGTGCGTGTGTGTTCTTAACGATAGATGTACGCGGCTTTCACGCTGGGTTTCGCGTTGTACGAGATATCGACCGGCGGTAGCCTCGTGCACATGCGCCCCCCTGCAGAATGTGAGCCAGCCTCTGACAACGATTCGGTGGTACAGCTTTGAGGTCAGCGGGAACTCGCGCACCGCTGCTATTTGCGGTTTTCTACAGTTCTTTATGCTCCTGGTTGTCGCCCGTGCTTGTCAATGAATTCGCTATCTCTGGTCTTGGCCGGCATGGGATCCTGCTCATATGTAAACTCAGAAGAACCCTTTCGGGACGACCTTTTGCGCACCCAAGCGCAGGCCTCGACCCATGCTCACAGGGAATAGAGTATCGGCCTACATACTGGTGGTGCGCTCTGCTGCACGGGAGTTGGCCGGTTCCTTCATGGGGCCACTCGTAGTGGAGGGGAACCTCCTTGTCTTCTTGTGCACCGGTATAGGTATATTGCTAACCGCCGTGATTACTGTAGTCAGCCTGTTGTAGAAAATGCCGCGCAAGTTTTATTATTGGATGATCCCAACCCGGGGACAGCCGGGCGTCGCATGTGTCGGATAGGGCAAATGGCAGCTCGGCGTGAATGCACCGAACAGCCTGTTGTTGCTGTATTATCTCGTCGTGTTGTAAGGGAAGTGAGACACGCTCCTCTCGCCGGGGTGATCCTGAAAGCCAACACACATATTCCACCGCTAAACATCTCCGTAGATGTATAAATAAGTCCGAAGATGCATGAAATCCCCGCCGGTTTTGCATTGCTATAATGCCCCGTCAAACGTCGTGGATTGATGTTGTTCCCTGTCCTCCTGCTTGAGTGTGTACATGTTGTGCTTCCACCGCACGAACTTAACGTCCACCCACATATGTACTACGGTCGCTGCTGTGGGTCTGGGGGGCTTATTCCATTTGCCTTGCTCTCTTGTTCACACTTCAGCTGAGCTTGGTGCTCACACGAATTGGACGCACACTCAACGGCCCGACAACCTCGGGATATCTGTGTATCTGCAATTATGACAAATTGTGTTGCTGGGATAAATAGTGCAGTTGGCCCTCGAGCCCACCGAGCCTGTGGTTGTGTGCTTTTTTCACCCCACGTCGCCGATGCTGCTGTGCTGTGCCATTTCGTCGGTTATTCTCCGCAGTGTTTAAGGTGGTGGCGTACAGCGTGTCGTGCCTGCTCGTCTACCGCAGCGTATCATTGGTGAGGGTGAACAACTCGCGATAGGAGCTCAGTCACTCCATTACAACTTATGTTCGTATGGCTGTACGTGCACAGATCTGTGCTTCGTACTTGAGCTGATGTGATACAGGTAGATGGGTCGTAATTATTCCAACATCATCTCGCGTAGCCTCATCATTGGTCTCATGCGGTACATGATGTAGAACACATCTTCACGCACACGCACAAGCTCTGTGTTTACTTTTTGGCATGCTGCCTAACACTCGCGTTCCCGCCTCCCTTTCTGATGCTCGCATCGACAGTATTTGAGACTTATGCTGATCTGGACAATTACAACGGCCTTCAGCGGAGTGTTCCAATCGCTTCTGTGGTTGGAAAACTCTGGTGGCTCTGCGATAGAGAGAGGGTTGGTCTGGACGATGCTAGTGCTCAGCATCGCAGGAATGGCTGGGAATGTAAGTCTGTATGCCCACAGGGTATTCCACTGCAACATTGGCCTTGTGATCCCACTGTGTAACGGTCGCGCGGTCTATTTTGCAAATATTTCGCTGTTTGCCAAGGTATTTGCTTTGACAGCTTCTCTCTTCTTGGTGGATATCCTCAGCTGTCTGTACGTTTCTTCGTCATGGCATGATTTGCCAAGCTTGCACAGGACCGATGTCCATTACCTCAGTTCCTCGGTATCACCTGCCCGATTTCACTAGCACAAGTTCTCGGGCAAGTTGTTGTTGTTGTTGTTGTTGTTGTTGTTGTTGTTGTTGTTGTTGTTGTTGTTGTCTTGACAATAACAACCGTTCCGATCTCTCTACCCATTACCTTCTTCTGTCCGTACTAGGCTAACACTTTACGCGGTCGATTCCCGCGGCCACACGCTGACTTACCCAAAAGGTATGCTAACATAAGATGGACCCGAAAGGTCCGCAAGTCAATAGAAATCAACGACAGACAATCTAGATCCCTCCGCTTGCCTCTACACGCTATGCGAGGCAATCACAGACTGGAAAAAGAAAAAGAAAAAGAAGAAAAGAAAAAGAAGAAAAGAAAAAGAAAAAGAAAGACCGCGCAGGGAGACAAGGGCAAAGAAAAAGACACGCCAGAACCACTATCGTAGCGATAAGCAAACAGACAACTCAACGTAACACAAAACAAAACAAGCCACTCAAAGTGGAGTTGCTTTTTTGTGCCATACAGGAGTTCTGTCTGGCACAAGTTTGTTCAAGGTCCTCTCCTCCATGAGGGGAGTACTAAACCTGGTTGTTCGATGAGCAGCCGTCTACAATCCATTTCGCAAATTCCTGACCCTTATTTCCTCCTATGCGTCTGTGGCGTGTACCTGCCGTTGCTCCGTTGCTTATTGGGCTTCCGGTGCTTGCAGATTATCGGAGCCGTCACAGTGTTTCCGTCCGTGGGGGGGTCATCGGGGAAGGCCAGACGTCGCCGCTACAAATCGTCACTCAAAGAGACCTGATCAGGATCCGCGCTTGGATGTACAGCGCGCAATCTATACTCGGCTCTTAGCAAGTGCAGCCTGCATAGTTCGGCAGCTGGAGTATTTAGAACAATGTTTACATTTTGAAGGGCAGGCGGCAACATTAACATTTTTTTGCTTTCGGCGAGGTGGATGTTTTCCACTTGATTGATAGGCTCGTTGCAACTGTTGTGACCAGCAAGAAGGAATCATCGTTCTTTGTTGAGGTGAGGCCAACTTGACGGCAAGGATATCACAATATCGCTTCTTGTGTGACCTTGGCTTAAATTGCAATGCCGAAGATGGTGATCACGCACGCCATGGTCTCATTTTCCCAGCGAACAGTGCTGGCTCCATCGGCTCTCGGGTCCCAAAAAGCGGCGGTTGTTGAATGTAGCCGTGCCGATGCTCGCTGTTGCATACGCTCCACCAGTAAGCAGCTAACCTGTGGGGTAGTGAGTGCTCTGTGCTGGGTAAGAGACAATCGAACGTGTACACTACAGTGCGCTAGGAAGAGTGTTCATCTTGCTGTTGGTTACGCTCATGTTCTCTCAACATGTTTTTGAAGGCGCTGGATCGACTGGAGTGGAATCGAGAAGTGCCCCTGCGTAGCAAAAGGTGCGCTGTACCCATGTGATTGAGGATATTACATGTGCATGCAAAATACCGTTTTGGGAGAATTCTCAGACGTGGACCCTCATGTTGGTCTGTGAAAACTATCGCGTCCCGCAGAGCAGCTCCCTCACCCCGAACTTGAAGTTTTTACATAACCTTGTCAGCCCCGTGATACAGCGAGCTGTGATGGTGTCTGTCCAATCTCCCACCTGATGCGGCGAGATGAAACCATGCACAAGTGTTAGTTCGCTCTGCAACAGAGGGCGTTTACTGGAAAATAGTTGCAGCAATGGTGGGTGAAGAAATACGTACCGGATGAAACAACTCTTACCATATGTGGACAATGCCCGGTCAACAATAATAGACCTCCCATCGACATCGGACAGGGACGAGGTTGCACTACAGTACGTTCGCGTCTTCTACTGACGGACGAAGTAATCAGTTGGACACACCGAGCTCTTGCATTTCTTACTACCGCCATCGTACATCGCTGATCCGGTTTGATATGTTGGTAAAGTCTGTCTGTGGAGTCTCACGTTTCGGTGGGAGTATCGCCTCCCCTCCAACACCTTGCGGACGGCCTCCTGAGCGATTTCCTGAGCTTCTTCTGCGATGCATATAGTCACATGACAGTACCAAGTTCGAGCCATAGACTACCAAAGCAAATAGTCTAGGTGGTCTGTGTCAGACAGACACCAACGCAAGGATCTGTTCACACTACTCTGCAATCATTGCTTGTTCAATCTCCATGTAACACATGACCCGTGCGTTATGGTTCTGACCATGAAGTTGCTTAGACTACTTTTTTTTGGTGATACGAAATGATCTTCATGTACACGTACGTACGTAGACTTCAAGAGTAAAAAATGGATTCTACCAGGTTCAAGGAGCAACTCGGAAAGATCTTGCTTGCCATAAAGTACGTTCCCAGGGACTACAAGTAAAACAATCCGGCTCTCTCGCCCAGCCCCTTCTCAGTCAGGATGTATTCACTGTCGGTAGTCCGGTCTACACGTACGCCGACGCCAAAGATCTCGTCGCCGGTCCACAGCGATGATGGATGCACAACCATAACCGTGCCGTTGTAGACTATCTTATCCTGGGCACAAAACAATCTGGGGACGAATCACCCCTGCCAAAATAACTCACCTGTGAGTTCCGTGAAGTCGAAGACACCCGCAGCTACATCGGCCATGTTTCCCTCTGTGTACGCACCCGAGGCCGACAGTCTGTCCGTATAGTCCACAACAACAGCAGTCGTCTGTGTTGGTGCTTTTGAGCTTGCGGTCTGTATGGAAAAGGAAGAGTGACCAAAAGGGGTATGTTTACATTGGTTGTTTCCAGACAGCTGGCTCCAGCGGGTACAGCATCAGATTCATTCAAATGGAATCATTCCGATCCTGATCATCTGATGATCAACATCCGACATTGCTTACAAGTTCTTTTGGGGTGGGGGGTTGAACTGCAAATATGCATACCGCCTTTCGCTCTTCTTGGCACTCCTCTCTCTCCCCCGACCTCTCCCCAATTTCTGCTGCTGACTGACCCCGCTACGTAGGCCCTGTCTCTCTGTCCTCCAGCGTCTCCTTGCGATCCTCGGCGGACCCTTGTTGAGGAAGAGGCACGCAAGGCACGCAAGGTCTATCTACTCCCAATTGGTCGTGGATGATAGCTGGGAGCGATAGATGAGAGCGGCGGAATTTTGAATCTCGCGGCCGATTTTCGCGAAGGCACCGCGAGTGCATCGAGTGTTTTCAACACGCAGGGACAGGGGAGAGATGAAGCCATCGTGCTCTATGCTTGCAGCAGTTGTCGTGCTCACCGCACGATCTTCAGTATCATTCCACTGCTGCAGCTGGAGGGCGAAGCAGCCGCGTCATCACCAGCTGAAGCAGCAGCACAAGCACCAGCAGTTCTTCGCCCCTATGCATAGGATGGACCGGGAGCAGCAGCACTCAACCTCCAGATGGCGCCGCCGAAGTTCGCTCCAGCTTTCCGGAGTCGGGTCCACCGTCGCTCCACCTCCGACTACTCAGGTGTGTGTTTCACGGGCGACACGTAGGCACAAAGTTATTGCGTTAGGATGGAAACCATACTACGCTCTCGGGCTGTTTTCTCGGCGGCGCAATCAAAGGCGGTTCAATACTTTTGAGCAGCTGCAGCAGCGCACCCGCGGGTTCTCAGGTCTATTCGTGTAGGTGTGCAGAGTACAGAGTGCAGGCGTTGTCCAACAGCACATCACATATTACCTAGCGCGGAAAGCGTTAGCTGGTTTTCATCGGAGAGCACGTTCGATAGTTCGAGTTGTTATGACAAACGTTGTTGTCCTCGTCTCGTATCAGGAATACCCCGTTCTCCACATTGAGCGCGTGTTGAAGGTATCCCGTCGGACAGCAGCATCTGGTGATGTGAGCAGCGAACAGTTCTGTCTGCTATTACAGTACCCTTCGCTTGCAGTCGAAACGGCTTTGTTGAATATGGGCTGGGTGAAGTAGAGGAAGCAAGTAGGCGTGCAGTCTTGCCTTTCTGACCAAACATGAGCGGGGCAACCGTTTCGGATCCTAACGGACGGCAGCTGTAGCAAGCAAGCTATGGGCTCACCAGCAGTGGTAGACTTGTCACCACCAGGCCGTCACCTACGTCTACTGTTGTTGCGTATGTTCCTTTTGTCTGCTCGATTAAGTGATTCAGAACGCCGAGGTATATCGGTAGTGGGGTTTGCCTCCCATCGGCATAAGAAGCATGCTTCGGAAGCGTACGCGTCAAAATGTGGAGTGTGTCGACGAGCGTGTCCTGACCGCCGCAAGAACAAGCCTCAATACTGTTCCCTCGATACACTCTACCACCATACATCGTGTACTCGATGCTGCTTCATCCTCAATCATTCGTGTGATTATTCGCCCTTTGCTGCGCTTTGCACCGGTCAATTTGTGGCTTCAACGCCGGGTCGTCCATTTGCGATTCTACGGCGGCTGCTGCTGCTGCTCGATATACCCCTATCCTCCCGGCGGACCGGGATCATGATGGATATCTGGATGCTTGCTGAACATCTGGGTGGGTTTGGGATGATGGAACTGGAATCTGGATTTCGGAACCCATATCTGGATGGTGGAACTGGCATCTGGGTTGTGGGATGGTTCCTGCCTGGGTGTGTGGTGGAATTGGATGCGGTATTTTTGGACTGTGGACGCTCCCGTGGGTCAGACCACGGCTCGCGGAGGTGGCGAAGATGGCATTCGAGAACTCACAAGAGAGGTGAGGGGGGCGTAGGGACTGCATCGAAGGCCCACAGGAATCATGTCAATGCTGCAGCTGTAGCATCAATCGTCAGGGGTAGCGAGCAGTTCTAAAAAAGCTGCGGTAGTAATTTTAAACGTACCACGCACTCGTGTTTTGCGTTCACCCCCGTACATCTATCCTCTGGATGCGAAATGTTTCGCCCGTCGTGTCTATGCTGCCGAACGGCCTTGATCGATGGCAACGTACACTGGAATCCAACTAATTTCATGACAGCTCCTCTCTAGTCAGAAAAACCGTTGATATACCCTGCGCAGATTGACTTGGCCATAATACAGTGCGAAATTATGTATTTTCAACAACACGTTACCGAACGTGCTCGTGCACTCTAACCCCAATCCATAGAGCGGTGAGATGGCTTGGTTCAGGTAGTACGTCAATTGTCAGTGATGTTTCGTCGAACATCGCGATGGGTCGTGCTCACTTGCTTCCTAGAACGAGGGCAGCTCGTTGTGTGTATGCATTGCATTCAGGGTACATGTTACGTGTAAGAGTTGTAAGCCACAGTACTGTCGATAAATATACATGTCGTGATAGTTCGTGCAAGCCTACCCTCTAAAGTTTGTCGGCACCCGCAACGCAAGTCCCGTACCACGCTGTGCCATACGAATCGCGATCCTCTCCTTTGAGCCGTATCCTTTCGCGCATGCCTTCGGGGGGGGGGGTTGTTGTCGCGGTGTGTGGTTGGTGCATTTCCCTGCAGGAGAGCGAGGCCGCAATACTGTCGTTCGCAGATTCCGCGAAGAGGCACTCCCGCACACAGTCGGAGTACGACGACCACATCGAGTTGCTACAAGGGTGAGAGAGAGTGAGAGATAATTCAAGCAAGCAAGACACAGGCGACTGCGTTGCTACAGGATGCGCCTTGTGTATTCGAGTGTGTATAGAAGGTCTGAAATGCTTGTCGTATCAACCGGCTGAGACTATGGTTGCCAATTCCTTTTTGCTGGGTCGGGGTCCATCGAGAGTGTCGTGTTTGCGTCTATCGAAGAATAGTGGTCCGCCCGTACCCAGTTTCTCTCTCTCTCTCTCCCCCTTGCCCCTCCCCCCTCTCGGCCACCCACGCAAGGATGCGATCATGGGGGCAACCTTTGACGCAAAAGCGCGTCGGGTGCAAGCGCTTAGTGTTGGGCAACTTCAAGCGAGGAAACCTTGTCTGCATCGCCGCAGCGCAGGTGGTGTGGAGCACGTGAGTCGCCTATATCGATCGATGGCCTCGGTACCCACTTGGATTTTCTTTCGTTTGTAGTGAGGCATTAGTTCCCTTCGTCTTGTCCGGCATGTGTTGACACGCTAGAACATCTCAAGCGATACCTTTTTGCTTTGGTTTGATCAATTCGGTGTCGTTGGAGCAGAGTGCGTCTTGCATGGGGACGGTGTTGGTTTTTGAGTAGTGGCTGCTTAGAGCGCGTGGGTGATGCCTCACCTCGTGCATGACAGCATGATCGGTTTATAGATGGATTGACGTACACGTGTGCTCAGTGCAAACGTCACCGCGGTATTTTGCGGACCTGATTTGATTTTTCCAGAAACCAGGTCGCGAATGTTTTTCAGACATAGATCGTTGGTTGCCTTATAAATTGAACGAAGTACCGTGTTCCAAGCAACGTGATGGCCCATACGACTACGTGGCCGCGTCCGCAACCAAGCTTGGGCCACCTTTTGCTTTGAGATTGTCTCACCTTGTGTCTGGTGGCTTGATTCACTTGGTGCACGTTCCCGTGAATTGCTCAACCCCGACTCTACAATCTCAGAGGATATCTCAGCCGGGACGTGCGATTATCCCTGGCACTCATTGCGGTCAACCCTAAGTATGACATGCGAAAGGTTGGCTTCGAGACTATCAAGCGGATGAAGTCCTTCGGCATGCAGAACGCTGTGAGTCACCGCTAGTTCGTCGTCATTACTCGTATTCTTGCCAACATAGAGTACCTACCGTGGCAAGACGTTCCTACCATGGCAAGACGTTCCTGTTGGGTTGTCAGCGTCATGACGCTCCGGCGTTCCAGCTCCACGGTGGTATCTACTTGTGCGTCTTCTATCTGCTACACTTGGGAATTGGATGATTTGGATCGGTATCGAGCCGACCCGTGTTACTGTCTTTGTCGAGCAAGGTTGGATGTATGCTTCTATGCTGTAGCCTTTGCCACTACGTATCAGCGGTACGACTATATTCAGTGTGCGGGTGAGTTTACGGTTTTGCTGGTGTGCCGTGGCGGAAGGAGCGTAGCTGTCCGTTGCTACCATCTCTGGAGTTTTGATATGCCGCGCTGTTTCGCTTGCTGGTCACCGACCTAGGCCGTATATCAATATCAATGCCCGTTTCCCTGTTGCACATGCTGTACGCATGATGCTTTCTTTATGTCCCCAGCTACTGCTGGATCTGTCGCCGTTGATGGCGGTGCCGCGGCTAAGGGTGTTTTGTTTGGAGTCTACTCAAACGCTTGATGAGGATCCGGAAGGAGTGTTCCAGGTACAACTGCGGTAGTAGAGAAATGAAACCCTAGTCGACTGATGTCGACACTATCAATATCATATTTCCTCGGGATTGTTTATTTCTCGCTGTTTTCGTTTTGTTCATGTTGGGTCATTGGAAATGGGTAACAAGCGCACCTTTGTATTGTTTACGTTTTTCTCAACTTGTCTCAACACCGGTGTGGGCCGTGTGTGAGCGCTCGAAAGAAAGGCCACTCGCGGGGTTCTGATATACCATCCAGCACGAGGACGCTTGCCTTTGCCGTTTTGTCCCCCGCTCCGTCTCCATATGGCCGCACAGGATAGACACCGCCTGGCCAACCTTCCAATCTTGTCGGTCTTACGACGGAATATGCATATGGAAAATGAAAACACAAGTGCCATGTCGACGGCGCTCACTTGGTACTTCCGCTGTTGTCTTCTCTTGGCGCGTTTTTCCATCTGACTCTCAAACATCCTTTGCCTTCTCTACTTGCGCCGCTGCTTGCGGTGGTGTTGATGGAACGGTGTGGCGAGACAGGACCCTCTCGTGCAGCAATACAACAGCCGTGTGCGGCGAAGCTGCTACGTGTTGGACGATATCCCCACGTGGGCGGACTTGGGGCCGTACTGGTACGAGGGGGTTCTCCCGCGAAGCGTCCGCTTCTTCTTCCGGAAACGGTTTCACGCGGTGAGGGCATCATCTAATTGGCCTAGCCTGGCCTGATCGTCTGGCAGTTGCCCGGTGTGTGTTGCTGCCAGACGGCTTCCGATGACGTTGATACTTCTTTTTCCCTTGAAACCGTTTGTAAGTGCAACGTGGTTAGTTGCAAATCCAGCACAAACTTTACATTCTCAACTTTGGTGCACTATTCTGGCGTCATATTCAAATCAAACACAACCGGCATATTCTCGCCGGAGCAAACGATCTCCAAGTATCGTGTTTGGCTGTCCAAAACTTGTATCCACAAGCCATGGCAGTGCCTTGATCTTGGCGCGTACAGTGGCCTTTCCTGTTCAAGGTGGGACGACAAGCATTAACATGTTCGAAGGAAGCAATGTTAATGTTGTGTTTCGATGTTGAAGATGAACGACCGCCGGTCCAACCGCACAGGTGAACGAGTTTGAGGTGACGTTGCAGCGCCCAGGGGCAGGGCTGAGCACAGGGAGCGGGACTGTGGGAGGGGCCCGCGTCATCGCAATGGACGAGGTGAGGCATCGGTTTCTTGGTGCACCCGAAGCACGTACGCAAGCGTGTATTCCTCTATGGCTTGATTTCTGACAAGGATGTGTGCGCTGCGTTGTGAGGCATCGTGTCTTTATAAGGTGATGGAGGTGTCACTGGTACACCCCACGTAGATGCGCAAGCGCGTTTTCTCCGTGTTGCCAAGGAGACGTACACTGCGTTGTACTTGGCCGTGTCGTATGGTGCCACCGACGGCAGCATGCTCCCTGCCGCGAACTGAACCGAAATGATACCTTCGGTGTTTCTTCCTGCAGTAGCGTTTGTGTTTGCTATCGTTGCTACTACTGCTACTGCTGATGCTGCTGCTACGGCTTGCTTCTGCGATGGTGTGTCCCGCTGTCGTTGTCGCCACCCTGTCTTACATGCGATGGATGATGACGCACGTCATGCTCACTTTTCCAGGCGGAGGCAGCCACCGAGATCCCTGGACACGGCAAGGTTAGGGAGATCGAACGACGGCTGGCAAGCCGCCTTCTAGAAGAGGTGAGCCAACATAGATCAAGTTGCAGGATTTCTGCATACAGTAGAGCTTGCTTGAATACACCGTTCTCAGGCACGGTTTGCCTAGGTGCTGGCCCGCGTGTGATCGAGGTAGCTACGGGTTGCAGGGCATGGCGGCGCAAGCTTGAGGAAAGCTTGAAGGGGCGGTGTTCATCAGAAGAAGGGGCATTCTGCGAACGTTCTCGTGACACCTGCGTTTGTAGCATTATATTTATTCTGCTGCGAGACGCATTTGCAGCGGTCCTTATTACGTGTGCCATGACCCAACACGTAAAGAACCTTCAAACATGGTCAACCGGGAGCACTTGTCCTGTTCTCAAGGTCCCATGTCGCTCGTATCGCCCCAGGCGAAGCGGTTAATCATCCCGTGTCCCTGCTCCCGATCCTGCCATTACTTTTCTGCGCTGGTGGCGCAGATGCAAGGCGAAAACCCGGTCCGTTCTGACTGAGCCCACGGACAAATGAGGGTGTTGTTGATGGAGTATGCTCAAGTCACGTTTGAGAGGCGTTTGATTTTTGGTGCCCACTTTCTGCTGTTTTTTCAGCGGGTCGAATGGAATGCGGCTTGGTTGGTGCATACACAGTCTACTTCGAATTACATCGCCGTGTTTTTGCGGCCATTTGTCGCGTGGCTTTCCTGTCGTTGGACGGTTCAAGGCAAACTGCTGACGGTTCATGCACACAGGCGGGTTGGGATGGCATGGAACATTCATTGACGCCCTCGAGACGCCAAAAAACTCCACCGACAGAGAGGGAGCAGCGGATAGGGTACAGAGAGCATTGTAGATTTTCAGAAGCGGTGCGCCGAGTGACAAATATTAATTGTGTATATACACGGATTATTCATGGAGTTAGTCTTTAGCGAGCCCCATAGAGTGCCGAGGTGGAGCTAGCTGCAGTGTGTGAACAGGATGATGCCAGTTTGGCGAAATCGCATGTGGCCAACGAAAAGCGCGATCAGCACGTGCGAAGGGTGTCGTTGTTGAATGGAAAGTAAACAGCAGTGTCGTGGTGGAAAACCCGGGAGGCCCCTAGTGGGCCAGTGTCTTATACCCCTATGTTGGTTCGTTTGTTGTGTTCTATACTATACTGTTTTCTGTATTCAAGGGGAGGCCGTATTCAAGAGGAGCGTGGGCTGTGGTGCTGTACTTGAGAAGAATGGCTAAGGGTGGTATGGTGATGGGGGGCTTTCGCAGGGGCTCGAGAAAAGGGGGTGGTTGTGTATCGATGGATAGGCGAGAACACAGATAGCGCCCGCACTTAAAAACTTAGCAGTTAAGAAATTGAGACTCGCAATAAATCAGAAGCTAAGAACTTGATCACCATTCGTGAGCTCGGTTAAGAACCCCTCTCTAAAACCTATATTGCGGCCATTTGTAGCCCACAAGAGGATGATCAGCAAAATAAGAACCCCAGCCTCGGCCGAAACTAGAGGTTCTTTAGTGCGGGCGCCATCTGTAGCAAACGCGGATGAGAATGATGTAAACTATTGCTGTGGGTGCTGTGGTGCGATCGGGCGGTTGGGTTTGTTTCGTGTGGAGGAGATCTAGGGCATCGGAGATGATTGTCGAAGTACGGAGTGTGCGATGTAAAGACTGTGACGTGCACACGTTCTTCGTGGAGACTGGTCGGGATGGATGCAATTCAAATGAAAGAGGCTGCCATCACACCATTAGCGGGAAATCATGACAAAACTCTCTTCCTCATGTTGCCACTGCGTGTTGACCACTTGACACCCCTTCTCTGTCCTGAGATGTCAATGCGAGTGTGCCCCAACGTAACAAAGCCGCTAGAAATCCGAGATGCAAAACATACCCCATACCTGACTGTTAACGAGGACTAGACAACAAGTGTACTCGCTATTCCTAAACGCGGAATCTCCCGGGAGCCTACGTTATTTGGAGCAACTCCGCTTTCTACAGCATCCGAATCCTCATCATACTGTACTGCTGTTGTTGTTGAATGGAGCTGGCCATGTCGTCTGAACTCGAGACAACATCCTCCGATACGAGCTTGCTTGTCTTCAGGGTTGTTGATGATGGCCTTATTGATGAAGCCGGCAGGGTCGAACTTGCTGACCCTGTTTTCGTACATGGAGAATACCGATAAGGTACGTTGTGTTTCGTATAGGAGAAAATGTATCTAAAACCTTCTATACGCAACACTTGTTCATTCGTCTTGCGAACCACACGACCCCGATATTATTCGTATGTTTGGGCATGGAAGGGATTGCTGCGCATCAACAACAAGATGATAGTGCCGCAACAGTGGGGTTCGTCGCACACACACCCCACGGAGTTTGAAAGCTCGATTGCTCCACATCCAAGGGTCTACCAAAATACCGGACAGCGACAAGTAAGTACAGTACATCTACCGCTTTCGACATTCTAAAACCACCATCATCTCCCCACTCCGCGACGGGCACACACACCCGGTTGAATGTTTGGCACTCGAGCTTTAGAGTTGCTCCGACGGTGTGAGATGACCCACAGCGTGTGTGTGTAATGTAGTTTCCACCCCATGGCACACTTCTAATGGGTTGATTCATTCTAAACTTTATATGTAGTATATTTACGACGCGTACATCTTGATTTCAGCACAATACAGACAAGGAGTGTGCTTTGAGATATTTTTTTGCCCATTCTTGTGTTTTTTGCCCTGTAGTCTAGACTACACTAAATAGTCCACCGATTCTGGTGAAAATTCAATCGACGGATACCCTGGTCTGCCAATCGGGCCCCCCTTAACACTCTCCACCCACAGAATTTACCCTCAACTGGGAATCTCTTGTGGCCAGGACGGACGGGTAATTCGATAGAAGGTTTTTCGTAGGATCCACTCCAAAGGTGCTCTCAGCACACACATAATGTAGATACAGAACGCGCCCGCAATGAACCCTTTTATACTTCTCCCTTCTTCCCCTCGCTCCTCGACAAGCTTTTGCTTAGACATGGGTTGTAGTGAAGGGGGGGGTCTTTCTGGCGAGCAGGGCTAGATTCACCCTCAAGGGATGACCGAAACCTTCTTGCTGCTGCGCATATCCGCCGCGAGGCATGCGCGTGGTGGTGTAGTTGGGTCGGCACTGATGGGGTCAGGCGAAAAAATGTAGATGCGCGGGCCTCTGGCCGTCGGCGTAGGCAG